TCTCTGACCTGTCTTCCCCATGTGATGTTTGTGTCATGTATGTATGGTCAGAAGGGTAAGTCGGCGCTGGCAAAGGTCGGCAGCCTTAACCCAATTTCCTTTGGGGTCAACCTTCAGGATCAATAAAGTTTTATTGAATTGAATTGAATTGAAAATTATCCACACCCACTACCGCGCTATGAATTGTGGGACATATGGGACCACGAAGCGTGCACCGGACCACGCTTGATATTTGGGGAAATCGACGGCGCATTTGAAGTACACTTCGAATTGGGACAGCCGTCGTCGCGTGGCGGTGACGTAATCACACTCAAAATGCGTACTTCAAGCGTGCGGTCTCTGAATTGGGACACAGCCTAATTTGCATTTACGTGAAATGTTGTCTTCACTTGTATTAACATGTTTTTGGTATGAATTCTGCTGTCTGTATTCTATGTATCATATGGCAATAAAAGTAGTTTTATCTTCAATCCATTGTTTATTTGCTGAATTTTAAAGCAATTACAATTTTTTTTAACCCAAATATGACTGTAATGTAACCATTGTGATGGGTTATGAGCTTTCTACCCAATTTTTGGTAACCTCAACTTTAATCAATGGTCAATTCAACCCAGTTTTTGGATAGTTATCCTAACCCAGTATGCCAAATCAAACCAATAACCCAGGGTTGGCTCGGTCTATATTTGACCCAGCACTGGGTTACAAATGCAGTTATTTTTAACCCAGCAGCTGTTAGTGTGTATTAAAGAATGGTAATGATCAACTGCTTTTCATCCAGAAAACTGTTGTTCATGTTAGCCAATGTGAGCAACATTTAGCCAACTTGTGCTCTCATTTTAGTTTTATTTTGCCCCTCACCCCAACCAGTCATGGCAGATGGCCCCGCCCCTCCATGAGGCTGTTTCTGCTGTAAGTTTCTTCCTGTTTAAAGGGAGTTTTTCTTTCCCACTGTCGCCTAGTGCTTGCTCATAAGGGGTCATTTGATTGTTGGAGTTTATGATGTAGAATTTAACTGCACAGATGTAGCCCCACCAACTGTTCTGTCATCATTACACACGAGGATATTTTGATATTTAATGACAAAAAAAGTTGAGTTTGAAGAAGGACCTAAAACACAGGTGCCAAACTCCAGCCCTCGAGGGCCGCTGTCCTGAAACTTTTGCATGTGTCCCTGCTGCAACACACCTCAATTCAATTAGCAGGT